GCGCTGACCTCCAGTAGTGCTTGGAGACGTGTCCTTATGCACTCTCAGGTAGTCCTCGTGCATTGCCTTCTTGGTCTTGTCAACGGGGAGGAGCAGCATCGGGCCCCGCTGTCCAGGGTTTGGCAGGCCATCCACCCGCGCGATGGCGTCAATCACTGCGAGGGCAAACTTGGTGCGAGGGTGCTTCACATTCTTCGTGTTGCCCGGGCGCTTCGTTGGAGTCGGCACAACGTGCTCGTTGCGCAGGTCTTGAAGTGCGTTGGCAATCATGCGAGAGCCCATGCCCGTGACTTTCATGAACGACGTCTTGCACAAAGTTGCGCCTGACCATGGCACGCAGGGCATGTGTGCATAAAGCTGCGAGAATGAGGAGTGCTTTGGGAGCAAGTGGCGCGGCTTGCAGTGCCACTCATGTACGTGGCACCGACAAAACATGACCTTCGTCAGCACGCAAGCACACACACACACACACACACACACACACACACACACACACACACACACACACACACACACACACACACACACATACACACACACACGGACAGCCCTCAGCAATCACGCACCTAACACGCACCTAACACACAGTACTTGGGGCGGAGTCGGTGTGCTGTGACGGGGACGGAGTCGTCATGATGCCGTTTGGCGCGGCTCTTGCGGGGCTTGCCTTTGGGGGGTGTGCCTGCCGCTCCAGAGACACACGTCGCCAGGAGGCTCTGGCATGCAATGCGCTTGGCATGCTGTGACAGTCTGTCGTACTCTGCCCTGATCTGCTGCACGGTAGACCGCGGCAGAGAATCCAAGCATGTGCCCGAGGCGCACTTGCACTTCTTCTCAATGGCATGCGTGGGTGGAGCTGTGCGCTGTTGCCGGTAGATGCGTGCGTGTTCAGCTGATGTGTCGGCGTCGTCATCCTCATCGTCCACCATTTCATCGTGATCGTCGTCCTCACACGCAGAGCTGTCGTGTGACTCGTCCTGCGTGCAGTGCGTGGCATCGTGCAGTGCTGTGGACGATTTGGGCCGTGCATCGAATGCTGAGGTGCCCGATACCGTGTAGGACGTGCGCATGTGCTGCAGGGCATGCCTCAGCTCATTGACCAGCGCTGCATCCACGCCGGGCAAGTCTGGCAGATCAAACTCCGTGTCCGTGAGTCGATGCACCAGCTCATCCACCGATTGTGCGATCTCTCCCGACGGCGGGAGGGCCACGTCTGGCCACCTCTCTGCACCCTCACCGCGCTCCCCATCAGATCCACCCAAGGGCAAACGGAGCGCGGCGCTGTCCATCATTGGTGTGGTTGTGTGCGATTGGTATGTGGCATTTCCAGTGGGCTTTCAAATTTTAGTGACATGGTCAACCACCTCAACTTGCGTCAACCCCATATACATCCCTGAGGCTCATCCGGGGCTCATTCGAACCGCCTCTCTGTGCTCTGTTCGCTCACGACATTTGCAGCAAGTGTGTGTGTGTGTGTGTGTGCGTGCGTGCGTGTGTGCGTGTGTGTGTGTTGTGTGTCTGTGTTGTGTGTCTGTGTCTGTGTTGCGTGTGTCGTTTGCTTGCTCCGGAACTCTCTTCGCCCCGATGATCCTGCCGTGTGACGTGGCTCGCGCAGGTGTATGCCCAAAAGAACTCAACAGTAGAACAAAACACAAAACAAGTCATCGTGTCATTCAAGCACATGATTCCTCATCATCGTCATCAGCGGCAACATCACCGTGTGCAGGTGCTGCCTGGGTGCCGGATTCAAAGGCATGGATCAGGCGAGCAGCGGCACCAACGGGCACGCCAGTCAGCGCTTCTTCCTTCAGGCGCCCCCTCTCCTTCATCGCGCGCAACACCTCAAAGCTGGCCACCCCCAAGGCTGCGAGCGCGCCACGCGCATCGGCAGAAAGACTCAGCGACGAAAGCCACTCCTCAAATGAGACGATATCACGTTTAGCAGCGGCCACAGCCATGCGCACGTGCTTCGCCATCCTCGCCGCATCGGCTGCGCGGTCAGCGTGGTGCTGGAGTGACATCATGCCGTCCATGTCAAACAGCGACAGCACCACTTCACGCACGCTCTTGTGCTGCTGTGGAGGCCGCAGGTGCAGTACTTGTGTGAAGTACTCGTCGAGCGCTGCTGTTGTCTCCTTGCTCACCACATCCGGCAACTTCATCGCCAGCCGCTTCATGTACTCGGGCGAATCGTACTCGCTCGCTGATGCCACACTCATGGTATGGTTGCCGTCGTGCCAACCACTGCCAACGAAGAGTGGGACGATGCGGCGGAGGCGGATCTTGTCTGGGTGCTGGCGAGCAAGCTGTTGCAGCTCAAGCATGGCCATCCACTCCAACAACACGTTGTCGCACGTGTCATTGTGGCCGAGCGAGCGCATCTGATGGATTGCAGCGACGGCCACGACGGGACAGGCGACCACGCTGTGTTGAAGAGCTGTCAGGCACGCATGCTTGAAGTTGACGCCTGCCTCGAGGTTGTTGGCATCCACAAAGACCACCAAGCCATGGTGCTCCAACTTTGGGTGAAGGGTCAACACCAGGCCGGTGTTGCCGCGTTGCCTGTGACGTGGTGATGTGGGGTGGTGGTGGTAAAGTGAGGAAATTAGAGGGATAGAAATACAATCACTTTGCATCCATTGCACACACACACACACACACGAGCACACAAAACTCTCACCTGTAGCTGATGAAGGCGTCGTACTTGTCCTGCAGCCCGAGGACTGGCAGCAAGGGGCGGTACTTGGTGCTCAGATCACTCACCCTCACCAAGTCATCACCCACCCACATGTCCTGCTTGCTCTTGTGGTGGTGCAGCACGTCCTCAAATAACAGTAATTTCTTCTTGTTGTATGGCAACAACAGGTTGGCCTTGAGGTCAGGATAACGCTGTAAGGCGGCGGTGGTGATGATGTCGTACAGCACGTGCAGCAGTGTGCGCGGTCGGTCGCTTGTGATCTTGATCTTGATGCCGCCGACTGCGGGCACAAGCTGCAGCTCCACTTTCGTCGTGTTGATGAAGAGGATGACGTGGGTGCGGCTCAGCTGCGGCTCCTGTGCTGCTGTTGACTGCATACCTTCCAGCACACGTGCCAACACAACTGTGAACAGTCCTTCTGGCAGGAACGATGCTTGCTGTGCATCTTCAACTCCCACGCTCGCGGTCTTCTTGAAGTCATTCAGGCTGAACGTGATGTAGGCTGTTTTCTCCTCATACGCGCCGTAGGTGTGGGCATCTTTGGCTGCAGTGGTACTCAGTATCACCGAGGATGTCTCTTTTCCCTTCAGGGTCATGGGCAGGTTGGACGGAACCAAATACTGCTGCTGTTGCTGTTGCTGTTCTTGCTGTTGCTGCCCGGCCTGCATCGTCGCGTGGGAATATTCCGCACACAACCCGTACTCCATCATGAGTTGGAGGAAGGGCTCAACCATGTCATCCCGCACATCCTTCCACAGCACACCCAGCAGACGGCGGTGCAAGATACCGCGATCAACGAGATCGTCCCACACGCCAGGGCCGAGTGCCCTCGCCTTGCCATCACGCACATCGCGGTGCAGATCAAAGTTGCGGATGACGCGCGTCATCGTGTCTACCGCCCACTGCGGACTCAGGATCACATAGTCCTCCATGCCAGGCACGTGGTCGTAGTACAGCACCATGGAGTACAGGTGCAGGAACTGGAGGCAGGCTCTCGTCTCCTCACGTGTGTGCAGCCCACACGTGCCCGCAATCTTCACCACCTCGTCAAAGGTGAGCAGCGGGCGCTTCTCGTCGCGGGCGATGGCGTTGAGCTTGTCGTAGAGGTGGAGGTATGGCACGGCCACCTCCTGGCTCACGTATTCCTGCGCTAAGGCTATGGAGGAGATGGTCTGGCGCAGGTCCTGGATCATGGGGTCATTGATGGACTTGGTGTTGTTGACAGGCCAGAACCACAGACCATGCTTGTCGTTGTGAATGACGCCAGGAAAGGCCGGGTTGTAACGCAGATGACTGTGGATGTCACGGGAGAGCTGTGTGTGCAGCGTTCTGCTGCGCACTTTGTCGGCGTGCGTGCCGACGATGAGGACGGGTGCGCCCTTGGCGTGGAGGTGGAGCGAGGAGAGCCAGTGCTCCATAAACTCCCACGTCTCTGCCCGCTTGCTGGCATCTTGGTGCAGCAGGTCCTCCATCGAGAACACCAGCAGGTACACCGCGTACCTGGTGTGGGTGTGCGGTGATGAAGGGAGAGGTGAATGAAGGAGAGGTGGTGGAGGGACTGCAAGCACACACACACACACACACACACACACACAGACAGACACACACACACACAGACAGACACACACACACACAGACAGACACACACACATGCAACACACACAATTACACTACACTCACTTTGTGAGGAAGAAAGGGTGGAAGATGTAGAATGTGGACTGGCCGCCCAGGTCAAACACCTTGAACGTGACCTGCGCTTCGTCCAATGCTCCGTCCAAATCCATCTCCCTGATGGCCTTTTCAACATCTCCTGGCGACGGCGAGTACGCAGCAGAAGCCGATGATGGGGTCGGTCGTGGCTTTGGGACAGTGGACGGTTTCTTCGCGGTGCTGGTCGTCGATGGTGAAGAAGATGGGCTGGCGGAAGTGGTACGCTGCGTGCACTGCGACGGCGTGGGCTGCACTGGCGACTGCTTCGCTGTGTCGGTGGCACTCCCCTGATCTTGTTCCTCACCGCGCGGTGTGTGTTGGCACGTTGCTTCTTGCTGTTCTCGTTGTTGCTGTCTCACGCGCTGCTGGTGCTCAGCCGCTGCCCTGTCTGCACGCTGTCTCATTTTCTTGGCCAACTTGGTCTTTCTCGCCAGCGCCGTGTCTCGCAGCGTACGCAGATACTCCGACAGCCTGCCATCCGTGGCCTATGAAAAGGTGTGTGTGTATGTGTAAGTATGTGTGTATGTGTGTATTTGTGTGTGTGTGTGTGTGCTGGTGGAATGCGGAGGTGCGCGGTGCAGGGGTGCATTCACTCTCGGTCACGCACGCGCGCGCACACACACACACAATGCGCACCTTCCAGCTGAAGACATCCTTGGTGTTGACAATGACTGCAGTGTCGTGGGCTGTAGCGCCTCGGGTCGAGTCTTGCGTCCGCTGGAACCTCTTCCCCATCAACGAGCGAAGCGTGGTTGTCTTGCCAGCCCGCCCCTCACCAACAAACATCAGTTTCGCGCGTGCCGCCATCCGCGTGCCGGAGCGCTCAGCGATATCGCTCATGATGGACGTCATCTCCGCATAGTGGCGGGGCTGAAAGGAGTAGAGAACAGGGGAGTTGGTATACATGACGCGATGCATTCAAAACCTTGTGGTCAGTTGTGACACTGCACACGCGCCCACGCACACACATACATTCACACGCGTGCATGCACACGCACGTGCACGCCCAAGCAACCTATCACACACGCATGACTCGCTGACCTGAGGATGCGAGAGAAGCGTTACAATGTCGCTGTTCCCACGCTGCCAACGA